AGATCTAGGAGCCGGGTGCAAAAGGCACCGCTCCTATAAAAACAGCTACCCCACTGATGGCTAGTCACCCTGACGAAGCCGGCAGGAGGCCGGCGAAAGCTAGGTGTTTTAATGTTTTAATAGCAATAAATTTTTGTAACTTTTTAATCTCCTGGTGGTCTCACTGCTTGTGACCCTTCGAACATGAATTTACCCAGGACAAAACCAACAATTAAGCCCCAGTTCTAATGTGTTTCAGATGTTATATTATTAGGCTTGCTTTCTTCAACTGTTTAATCTTCTCTTCTCCTTCTTCTTTTTTTAATAGATAGTTTTTATTCTGAATTTATCCTACATTTATTTTGGTCTTATTGTATATTTTTAATACTGTTGTAAAGTGCATCAATATTTTTAAAATAAGTGGGAAGCAAATACGTTTAACAAAAATGTGCTATTAAGCACTATGTAAGAGCTTAAGTGAGAGCTGTGCATTGGAGAAAGTATATTTTCTGCTTTATTATGATATTTACCTGAAAGGACAGTTATGTTTTTTCTCCAAGAAAATAATCTCAAAAACTGTAGGAATGTCTTAGATTCATAGAAAATATCATAAAAGAAAGATACTTTTTCGTAATCTTAAATTCAGTATACAACTAGAATCAGTGGTCTTTTTAGCATAAACAAGGTAAAAATATTAACAGATTTTATTTTAAAGCATAGGCTAACTTTGAGCCAACATGCTTACAGAGAAGAAAATGTGCCTTATGAATACAGAGCCCCATTTTCCTTTCCAAACATTTCCCAGAACATTGGAAACAAATGCTGCCCCTGCAAAAATGCTGAGCTGTGTCCCACTCAAGACTGTGCCAGGCCTAGGCCCCCACTCACCTTCTGTTGGCAGATGAAGTGAAAGAAAAACAGAATCTGTCAACATATTGTATGTCACATTTGCCACCTGATAAATGAACAGCCAATAAGAGATTTTAGCTTTGAAAAACATTGTTAATTCAACATTGGCCTTAGGGGAGGTTGATCATACCAGATTGGATGGATGTGTGTTACATAACTTACTCTCCAATACCGAAGACAGAAAGATTAGTTCTTCTGGAAAACTAAATGTCAGTTAGGTTGAAACAGAACTCTGCTTCCTAATGGAAAACTCTTCTGTGTCCCAATAATTTGTTTATTAAGGTATCCAATTTCTTATTGTGATCTGAAGTGAAACAGTCTAATCAGATGTTCTGATATCTAAGCCAATGAGAGGGAAGATGATTGTGAAAGAGGACAGGAGTGGAGGGTGGAGAACAGATTCATGGAGCAACTGATCCTAATTGAGCAAAGAAATGAGTTGTCTTAGCTGGAAATTTAATAGGAGATTTTGTCCTTGGAGCAATCTGGTTTCATGGATCTCTGTTGGAGAGTCAGCTGGCTTTCATGATATCAAATTTACTTCCAATCTTTCTGTTATTTGAACTATTTTGTTAGCCTAGATATGCTTTTGTATAAAAAAAATCATGATAGGAGATACTAGACACATGTGTAGACATATCTACCGGAGATAGACATGCTAAGTCTAAAGCACCTTCGATGATCAATGGCTGGATCTTCAAAACAGGATAGATAATTGGGGATGTTTGAAGTGGGTCCTGGAAGAGGTATTTGCAGATCATTTCCAGAAGGGACAGAAAATATGCCTGCCTAATGTTTTTGTTCACAGAGAAGAGCCAATGCTTGTTAAGTTACATTAGAAAACTAACCCTGAGGATATTTTCTCACACAAATTATAAAGTGGATTTTAAGTTATATTAGACAAAAATATTCATTCACATTACAAATCAATTTTCTTTTGTATGTGGCATAAATGAGAGGAAAAGCTTAGGGGAAATTTAGATCTCACACATGAAAATGCCTTCAGTGCTCCTCTTTCAGAATGATGCAGTTTCTTCTCATTTTCTATTGCAGGAAGCCGATTTATCTTATTAGAGGGGAGCCAACTGGATGCCAGTGACTGGTTAAATCCTGCCCAGGTGGTTCTTTTCTCCCAGCAAAATTCTAGTGGGCCGTGGGCCTTGGATATGTGCTCCCGAAGACTTCTTGACCCTTGTGAACATGAGTGTGATCCTGAAACTGGTAGGTGGGTGCAATGTGATCTGGGGGATTGTCAAGTTCCCAAAGTTATCAAAAACTGTGGTGAGAAAATGACCTTCATGTTTCCTTTGTTTTTGTATGGTGAGAACAAAAAGTCATACAAAGTTTCTTATCTTGAATCCAATTTTTCTTCCACCCAGCAGACTATTTTTTGATTGATTATGTCATACTCTCTGATTTAGGCTGACAAACTTTCCTATAAACTATTTCAAGAAATACTCACACTCAAATTTTATATATTTTCTGTTAGGAGGAGAACCTGAAAACAAAAATAATTTTAATATGAATACCGCTAGATTCTACCATTTCTTCAACAGGCACAATTATGGATTTCCAGGTGCCACCCCCTAAATCAAGAGATGGTATATCTCAAGAGATTGGTCCAGTCTTCTCTCTTCTGCACATGCTCACGAGAGGCATGTTTGTTCCCCTTTGATGTGATGTGACTCATTTGCCCATCGTCTCTGCATTTCATTTATTCACAACCATCTGCCATTGCAACTGCCAACTCTAGCAGGCCTCTGAGGGGGATGGTTTCAAACACACTCCTAGGGCTTATTTCTAAATTCATAGATTTTTGCCAGCATTCTGTAAAAATGGTTATGCCCTCCCCAAAAGAAATAAAAATGACAAAACAAGTACTTCTGTTGTGTCTTTTGTTCTTTTTGGCTGTAACCTGACTAAATAGCCACGTAGCTAGTATTTAAAGCATACAACTGTGGAGTCCTCTTCTTCTTCCCTACCCACAGATAAGCCCAATATAATTCAAAAGACAGAACTTACTCCCAACTAATTCAGTTGTAGTCTTAATGTAGGCTTTCAGAAATGTCATCTAGGGAGAAGAGCAAAGAAGTACATTCAGTGGAATTATCATATGTCTGTAAACCTTAAAGCACATATGATTATAATTGGAGATTTTTTTTGGCATCATAATAATATATGGCAGGAAAACTCAAAATACTTCATTGTTTGAGATGCAGGATAAAATGGGACCATAAGAGACTGCTGCTTGTTCCAAGTCACTTATGGAGCTAGTGTTGTCGTTGAATCCTATTTTAATGCTAGCAATGTCTAACATTAATTCCATCACCTGGGAGAAGCAGTCTGGTTGGGGGTTCAGGTGATCAATCATACTGTTGATATCTCAATCTATTCTTAACCATTTGCAGCTGAGTAAAAATAATCATCCAAAATGGACACACAATGCAAATAAGAAATAATGGGGCAATAAGGATAAATACTCTAAAGAAGAATAAGGGGGGAAATGTAAATAATAGAAGATTACTGTTACGAAGTTGATGTTAAAATATACATTGTGTATATATGTGAAAAAAAAAAAAAGAAAGAAATGTAGAACTCTGTTTTCTAGTGGTTTAAGGCATTAGGCTAGAAACCAGGAGTGAGTTCTAGTACCACTTTAGGCATAAAACTGGCTAGGTGACCTTGGACCAGTCACTCTTTCTCAGCCCAGAGAATGTACACTACAGGGTTGCTGTTGGGGGTAAAATAGGAGGAGGAGGAAGTGTATGTTTGCTGCCTTAAATTATTCATAAAAATAACAAAGGCAAGATATAAACAAACAAATGAACAAAATAAACAAATAAACAAACAAATACATATTATGATCCCTATTCAGGATTTCCATTTTAGTTGCCAAAAGATACACACGAGAAAAAGGCGACTGTGGCAGGGGGAATAATGTGTTGATTTGCCAAAAGCCTGGCCAAGTAGAGGATGAAACAGCCATCAGAATAGGAATTCACTTCTGAATGAGTGGCTGGTTTGAATGGGACAGTGAGAGAGCTTCACTCTGGTGGCCTTTCCACTGAGTAAGCATCTTTCTTTTCCCTGCTTTGCACCTGTTGGCAATTTCATTCTAGCAATATGAAACGAGAACAATTTCTTTCTGTCAACTTTTCCTTCATAATTTTATAATCTTTTGTTATGCTCTCCTCTCACAGTGTGATGCAGTGTGACCTTTCATGTATTTCTTCAAAAGTGTGCCCTACTACATTCAGTGATTATAGCCTTATTTCTTTCTAAACTAATGTAATTCCTTTGGGATTGGTATAGCTGGGTTTTCAAACAGGAATGCCTGAAAGCTAATTGGGAAGAAGACCCTGAAAGGCCCAGAAGGGTTCCAAATAATTATTGTTTTTTTATTTATAAAGCAGTGACCTGGGTGCATAAAGGAAGGAAAGGGAATAAAAGAAAAGAAAGAGTATAAAGGTGTAAGCAAAAGATCTTGACATCTCATTTCTTGGCATCTCATTTAGTGGAAAATCTCTCACAACTGTTACATTGGATGATTTTTATTATTATGACTTGTATTACTGGGCATTTGTATGTTGTTGCTTGCAAGCTGCCTAGAGCCATAATAACTGAATCAATGAAAAACGTTCATATTAAAAAAAATAAATTGCAGGTTCCAAATAAATAAGTATTTTCAGATTCATCAATGAATAAGGGATTATGAGATTGTGACACAGATATTGTGTCATATTTGCTGACTTATATACTTATTTTCTAGCCCTGATGATGTTACTAGTTAGGGTAATGAAATGTCTGCAAGAAAACAAGCAAGCTCAGAGAGCCCCAAGGACCACTTACTTACTTACTTACTTACTTACTTACTTACTTACTTACTTACTTACTTACTTACTTACTTACTTACTCACTCACTCACTCACTCACTCACTCACTCACTCATTCACCCACTCACTTATTTATTTGTGTGGGGTAAGAGATCAGAGACTGGTCATAGAATAGGCATTGTGTATTACACTACAAATGTCCAGGCTCCTCTTCTTGTTGATCCTCTGACTCTTTGCCTATTTTCTTGCCATTTTATGTTTTGTTCCCAGCTGTATGATACACTATATGTGATGAGGCGGTGAGAATGACACGCAGGAGGCTGGTAGAAAAGCATTGTGATCTTGTGCTTTTTATCTCCAATTCGTTTCCTAATAATTCCTAGTATGACATTTTTCTTTTTCCACTCCTGCTGCATACTAAATTGACAGCTCCCAGCAAAACTCATTCCCTTTTCAGAGTTGTTACGTAACTCATGTATTATTCTCTTGTTTTTGTTCTTCCACTTCTAGGTGAATGTCTTTGCTATGAAGGTTACATGAAGGATCCAGTGCACAAACACCTTTGCATCAGGAACGAATGGGGCACAAACCAAGGGTAGGTTATTTTTATAGCTCTGCCAAATTGTTGCTTAGCCTGAGTGAAGGCGATAGCACCTCAAGCAGCCTGGCAATCAAGCAGGACCGCTTGGAAAAGTTAGAGAGCTGCAGTAAAAGCCAAGTGATGCCTGTAAGGAAGTACTCACAATGTCCTGGACTTAAGTTTACCTTGTAGGGAGAGAACTGTTGAAGTCAGTCGCTGATGTTGAACAAGGATGTAACTAATAAAGTTTCAGGGTTTTGAAAGTAATAAAAGTTTTATTTCATGAAGACTAACTCAAGGCTTCGTATCTGCTGTGACCAACATAGAGCAGGTCCACTTGCCCCCATTCAACCAGTTCCATGGTGGATAAACTAAGGTGAAGAAATTCTCTGTAACTTCAATTATCAAGGTTGCTGGTGGTCAGTAGGTCTGTGGACTTCAAGTCAAATGTTGACTATTACATTTAAAACCTAAACTGCATGGCACTGGGATGAATAAGATGACACCTTATTAAAATCAAATGTGCCTGGTCCAGTAATTCAGTAAGAGACCTTAAGCATTTTAATGCAGCCTCTTTCATTGTGAACTTGCTAAAAACTTAAATTCAAAAAAGAGGCAATTTTGACAATGTTCCTGTGCTGGGAGTTCTGTTAGATACATAGAGAGATATGTTTGCCCCCTGTCCTCCCTCCTCAATATGTAGGAAAAGGGAAAGTAGACCTTTATTTCTAGGTTTTTAATTGTAGTTTGATTTTTAAGGTTACTCATTGTTGCATTTAAAAACATTGTATTTTCATGTCATATGTTGTAAGCCTGAGCATGGATGGGTGGATATAATTCTAACTAATAATACATTGGAATGGGCATTTGCTTGTCTTTGCATTACACTTTTGCATGTAGCCCTGATCAGTTGGAACAAAGTGCTGTAGAGTATGATTGCTTGAGCAAACGGAAAATTTACCATTGTCTCCATGTATTTGAGAAACTCAACTTCGGTATTGATATAAGATTACAGAACTCAACTCCATTAAATCCCAGCACAAGATGATAGAGCTTCATTTCTTTTTTTACAATCTAGTCCTGTTTATAGAATTACTGTGAAATCAGTCCTTGGATTTCAGTGATCTCACTTTCCCTATTTAGTAGTTGACCTGAAAGGCACGTCTGAGCTTGGTAATTAAGTCTGTAAAATTTATGTTGTTTGGTGACAGAATTTCAAAGAATTATTAATCCCTCTATGGTTGTATCCTTTGATTATAGGAGACTATAGAAGAAAATGTCTATTTATTTTGTTACTGTGCTTATTTCACTCTTGGTATATTTCTATATTTGAGAGCAAAAAAATACTAAAAAGGAGAGAGACCACACTGCCCCCTAGTGCCTAATGCCTACTAATGGAAAATAAAGCTTGCAGAAGCATTTGTGAATCCTAGGGTTGCCAGATCTTTGTGCAAACATTTCATATTTTCCTTTAAAAATTTCAAAGCAGAAATCTTTCTGTGTAGCACAAATGCATATAATATCTATCTATCTATCTATCTATCTGTCTGTCTGTCTGTCTGTCTGTCTGTCTGTCTGTCTGTCTGTCTGTCTGTCTGTCTGTCTGTCTGTCTATCTATCTATCTATCTATCTATCTATCTATCTATCTATCTATCATCTCAAAATAGTTATATAATAAGTGTCTTTAATATATCCTATCTGTCAGGTCTGCCTCCATTCAAGTCCTAAGAAAGAAAAACCTCAACTCCAAAGATTTAGAGAAGAGATACTTTTACTAAGAATGAACTGATAGCAGCAAAAGCAAGGCAAGATCTGAGTAAAAACCGTGGGAAAGTTACACATTGAAAGTCTTCCCACTGCCCTCCCCCCATGGTCCAGCCCAGCAGGCCAGTCAATGTCCAGCATGATTTTATGAGAAAGCCTCTTCAGCAGATGGGGCATCTCCAGAGGCCCGGGATGGTTGGCCTTGGCGAAGTATTATATCCACTCTGATGATGGGGAGTGATCCTCCTTTCTGATTCTCACAGGAACACTTCACACCAGCTCACTTCCCCAACCCAAATATCACACAGCCCCTCCTTTTGTTCTATGGCAGCCGAGGGCAAACAAGCGGCAAACTGCAGTCCGGCTGACATTCGGCCCTTCCACAACAGGAGTTAGCCTTATAAAAAAATAAAAAGCATAAGAAAAACAATACAGCAAGTCAATTATGGGACATTATCTAACCTAGGTTTATCAGGCTACTTCCTGTGAAACACCTGACGAAGTCTAGGAGCTCTAACATTGCGAGCATCTACCCATTCTGATTGGGAAGGAAGGAAATGCTTCCATGCCACTAGATATTGGACTTTTCCCCATGTACTTTCTGGAGCCTAAGATTTCCTTGACTTCAAAATGTTGTTTTAGGTAGATCCAACTGTATAGTAACTGGGTTTATAATCTTCACAATTGGAAATGGCACTACATATTTAGGTCCCAATTTCTTAATCCCTTAAATTAACAACTTAAAAAAATTCCCGCCAAAACTGGGAAGTGAAATGCACTTTATGACAACTTCTTCCCCTGGATAAATCTCAGTCTCATCAATAGCAGGATAGGTGAGTGGGTATTTTATTCTAAAGGCATTTGGGGTCTTAGTTCAGTAAGTCAGCATTCTTCTTGGCCTGTACAAGGAAGTGATACTAGGCTAAATCACATAAGAGATAACAGGTACCATGTGATCCTCAGAAACTTACTTTACCTGTTTTTTTATTACTGCTCATATATAGCTTTATTCTTCCCCAATTTCCCAGCAAAATCATTGTTCTTGCCAACAGTAGTGGAGAAATTACTGTTTTCCTGGGGATTGCTTGGCAAAGGAAGAGAAATCTCAACCTTCCCCCCAACTCCAGCAGTTGTGAAGGGACAATATATATAATCCCACTTTCATGTTTCAAAGTGTTCATGGAGGCCAGTATCATTCCCCAACAAGTTTGGAAAGCATTTTTCTGGCTGTATCAAAGGTTTTACTCAAGGCTAGACATTTTCAGAAGTTCAGCCATGCCAGGTTAGAAAGAAAAAAGCTGTTGAACCTCTTGAAATGAGATATCTATAAGCAAGGAATCTTTGTAGGAAGGGGATAAAAGATAATAGTGGGAAGACAGAAAAATAGGGCAGTATTATATAATTCCTGGTCTGAGCATTCATTGAAGAGGAAAAAGTCCTCAAAAAAGGGGAGTTTATCTTAAAAGTACAGGTAGTCCTCACTTAGTGACTGTCTCATTTAGTGACTGCTTGAACCTACAGTGGTAAAAGAATTAACCAGTCCTCAAATTTACAAGCTTTACAGCATCTATCTGCTCTAATTTTTTACTTGCTTATTTACCTCAAATCAAGATGTCCTCAAAGAGAAAAAGAAAGAACTACAGATCAGCTGAACGAAGTAGTGAGAAGTGAAGGAAAACTGAAGCAAAATCATAAGCATAGTTGTGGCCATGTTTTTTCACTTAGTGGCTGTTTTGCTTAATGGCCAGGTTGTTGGTCCCAATTGCAATTGTTAAATGAGAATTACCTGTACCATATTAAGGGGGACATGATAGTAGTGTTCCAATATCTCAGGGGCTGCCACAAAGAAGAGGGAGTCAAGCTATTTTCCAAAGCGCCTGAAGGCAGGACAAGAAGCAATGGATGGAAACTAATCAAGGAGAGAAGCAACCTAGAACTAAGGAGAAACTTCCTGACAGTTAGAACAATTAACCAGTGGAACAACCTGCCTCTAGAAATGGTGAATGCTCCAACACTGGAAATTTTTAAGAAGAGACTGAACAGTTATTTGTCTGAAATGGTATAAGGTTTCCTGCCTGAGCAGGGGGTTGGACTAGATGACCTCCAAGGTCCCTTCCAACTTTATTATTATTATGATGATGATGATGATGATGATGATGATGATGATGATGTCTTAAATTACTCCAGTTCCTTACCTGTTCAAAAAGGCAGAAAGTCACCCTGCTTTCTTCTAAATCAGTGGTTGTGCATCTTTCTGTTGATTGCATAGTTGTATACTTTACAGTTGGACCCAAGGGTGTTAGATTAGGAATGAAAGATTCTATTTGTATTCATGGGAGTTCACTCAGTGACTTTGGGCTCTCAGTTCAATCTTGTCTCAGAATTGTTGTGAGTATAAAATTGGAAGAATACATGCTCTGTAAAAGTTCATTAAGGGTTGCCAGAGATAACAACATATCTTTTTTACCATGATCAAAGGAACCAATGTTATATTCCTTACTTTTGCTTTTAACAATCTTGATTATTAGTCCCTTCAAATAATATCCTAGAACTTGATTTCTTTTCATTTGTTTTTTGTCTCTTCACATAAAATTCTTCAAGCTTTAGCAAGTCTCTTTTTTAAATTCAGTATAGGAAAATCATCCAGATCACTCTCTTGGTTTCTTATTTGTATATCCTTTTTAGTTTTTGAGACATTAGCCAATATGTTCAGTGCAGTATCTTTTTCAATATCATTCATATAGTCTCTTGTATTTAAATCTACTTTCAGATCAGTCTCAATCTTGTCAGATAAAACTTTTCTTTATTTATAACATCAATCAAGATAGACACTCTTAAAATTAACTCCCTGGATCCATTGTTCAAAAATATCCTTGTTAAATATTAAACTATTTTGCTTCCAGTTACCTCTAGTGTCCAATATTCAATGATTCATCCTATTTTTTAACATAATTAAAAAAAGCACTTTCCCATGAGAAACATTATAATAATCCCTTAGACCATTTGTAATTTTCAGTTCTAATCTCCCTATTGCCAATAATAATAATAATAATAATAATAATAATAATAATAATAATAATAATAATAATAATAATAATAATTTTAACTTGTATTTAAAGCTTCTTTCAATAGAGATTGAAGGAAACTCACTTAGTATTGTAAAACTTGTCATTCCAAAGGTTCCTAATAGCTGAAAAAGCAGTTAAGAAGCAATTTTTAAAAAGAATTTGAAATAGAAGTATACAATCCC